GGTGAGGCTCACCGAGCCATTTATCTCTCCGCCCTTTAATTAATCCCACTTGTGTTTATTGGCCAGGCTGGCACAATAAACTAACTATCTCAGTTATAGATAGATAGATAGATAGATAGATAGATAGATAGATAGATAGATAAATTTCCAAAACTTTGCCTCGTATGTGTTTTGCCATATTCATGGATATATTTGCAGCATAAATACACATATAAAAATAGCCTGGAAAACATGTCTGGTTTTTGTATATACTCTCATCCTCCCACACTCGTTCAGCCTGTGTGTCTGTCTACTTGTGTTGTCCTTACGTGATTTCAAGTCAGCCCAGTCACCATTACTGCAGGATTGTGTATTTAACAGCATTTACCTCTGCTATATTTAACTTGTGCATTCTGCCAAGTCTCTTCCTCTGCCTCTATCAATTTTTAATCTTTCTCTCATTTAATTTTGCCTTCTCCTTCACCCACGCTCATGTGTCTACTCCTCAGTTGATAACTTCCCCTCCCACTCCTGGTAACAATCAAAGGATGTTTCTTTTTGTGTGTAAATCTTTGCATGATTTTTTCCAGTAGTCGTCTCGCCCAGTATTTCTTCATCTGTGACTGACTTATTTTACTCGGCATATGAGGCTTTTCACAGCTTCATCATTATTCTTGAACTCTGGGTAATATTCTATTGTGTGTACATACGTAATTTGTTTATTCATTATTCCCTTGATGGACATTGAGAATGCTTCCATCTTTTTGCTATTGTGAATAGTGCTGAGATGAACATGGGTATGAATATATCCATATATATACTGCCTTGGCTCTTGTTTCTTTGGGCTATATACCAAGTAGTGGGATTGCTGGAGTAGCTGGTATTTCTAGTCTCAACTTTATTTATTTATTTGTTTGTTTGTTTGCTTTCAGTTGTGATAGGTTTATTGTGCAAACCTGGACAATAGGAACATGTGGGATTAAGCAGGTCAGTTTGATTGGAGGGCAGAGATAAATGGCTCTGCAAGCCCCCCACCCCCACCCTCACCTCTCTGCCCGCCTCCTCTCAGGTGATCAGTGTGCTGGAGCAAGATGCTGCTAGTTGTCTGCCTCAAGCCGTGAGCTACACCAATTGGGGGCCAGGCCAAGCAACTCGAGGATCCTGCCCTAAAAGCTTGAGGCTCGAGACCTGCTTCTCCACACTGCTGGTGCATACATCACTGAGCTTGTTTCAATTTCAAAGGAAGTGCCACACCACTGCTCACACTGGCTGCGTCATGGTCCAGTCGCACCGGTGGTGTTTGAGGGTTCCACTCTCTCCACACCCTTGCCAGCACGATTGTTTTATACTTCGGAACTTTACTATGAATGGTGTGAGGGGAGGATACTCTGCTGTTTGGATTTGCAATTCTCTAATGGCTACGGATTGCAGGTATTTGTTGGCGTGTGCTGGCCTCCCGAATGCCTGCTTTGATGAAGTATCTGTTTCTTTTCTCTGCCTCTTTTTAAACTGGATTATTTGTCTTTTCCTTGTTGGGTGTTGGCATTTTATACCCATTTTAGAGGTTAGTCCTTTGTCCAATATGTCACTGACAATTGTCCCCCTCGGTCTGTGAGTTCTTCATGTCACAGTTCGGCATCCTACTTTGGCAGGTAGGGGGTCTTAAAAGCTCGTGAGTGTTCATCTACTGTGCAACTATTTGTCTCTTCCTGCCCTAAGGAAAGAAGAGTGAAGAAGATCAAACACACATGGAAACAATTAGTCCAAAAGACTAAGGAACTTTGCAAATATCAGTCTCCACTATCCGGAGACCATAACTGGATGGTGACTGGCTACCACTACCAACTGCTCTAAAAGGGATCACATTAGAAGATTCTAGATAGAGTGAGAGAAAATGTGAAAACAAAACTCAAAATTGTGTATAATATCAATGTGAACAAGGGGGGTTAGAAGGGAGACACAAAGCCCATCTATAGGCAATTGGACATCCCCTCACAGAAGGGTCACAAGGAAGGGACAAGCCAGCCAGGGTGCAGTATAGCACCAAGGAAAAACATAACATTCCTCTAGTTCTTGAATGCTTCCCTCACCCTATCATGACCCCAGTTCTACCTTACAAATCTGGCTAGACTGGAGTATGTATACTGGTACAGAT